GGTTCGTGTTTAGGATATATGATGAATTGTAATCGCCACATGAGGAGCGTGTTTAAGATATATTATGATGAACCGGAAGCGCCATAGGAGGAGGCGTGTTGAAGATATACGTATGATGACGCGGAATCGGCCCATGACAGGAGTATTTAAGATGTATGATGAGGTTGGATCGCCAAATGAGGGAGGGCGCGCTTAAGAAATATGATGGACCGGAATCGCCCAACGGGGGAGGGGGGCGTGTTTAAGATATATGGTGATATACGATGATCCGGAATCGCCACATGATGGGGCGTGTTTAAGATGTATGATGAGCCCGAGTCGACCAATGGTGTGGCGTGTTTAAGAAATATAATGACCCGGAATCGCCCCTGCAAGTTGTAATCCCCAACTAGCTTGGGGCAAAACAGGACCTTGCAAATTGCGATTCCCCATTAGCTTGACGCAAAGCAAGACGCTGCAAATAGTAACTTCCAATTGCTTGGCACAAGACAGGAGCTTCGAAATGGTCATCCCCCGGTTTGCAACCAAAAAAGAGAGCCAACGGTTGCAAAGGATACGGGGGACCGCCAGCGTTAGGAGAAAAGCCTCCGCCCTGCGCGTGCAGTTAGTTAGTTAGTTAGTTAGTTAGTTAGTTAGTTTAGTTTAGTTAGTTAGTTAGTTAGTTAGTTAGTTAGTTATAGTGTGTGCGCGTGCGTGTGTGTGTGTGTGTGCGGGTGTGTGTGTGTGTGTCTGTGCGTGTATATGTGTGTGTGTGCATACGCATGCGCTCTCTCAGCTGCACAGCTTGTCGTCGAGTCCAGTCTCACGTGGGATGCAGCCTGGACGGTTTCGGCTCCTTGCGAGCACTACGCAATCCGGTCGTGATTTCAGTTCCAGTGCTGGACAGTGCAAGCCACGCACAACTATGCGGCACTTCACAAACCTCCTTGAGGAAGTCTGGTATGGGCACGGACACGGTAGACTCAGACTACTCGTGCCTAATGTGGGCAGTGGACAGCTTTTCAGACGGCAGCTGTTCAAGAGCTCTTGGCAGCTATGTAGAGTGCAAATGGCGGCTACAGCTGCTCCATGGCTGTAGAGCGCAGAGATGAGCTCTGTAGGCCCGGCGACTTTTGTGCCTGCGGCTGGTTACAATTTCATGTGTCCATTCGTGAGGCCGAAGCCGCCGTGCACGTCCTCCAGGGTCGGAGGCTTAACCACAATGGCCAAGGCCTAGCGGGCCTAGCGGCTACTGCTCGCAAGTGGGCCTAGCTGTGCTTGGATGTTGTAGTCTCTGAATTTCCTGTGTTCAATTTCGTGAAGCTGTCTGAGGTCTTCTGTCAAGGTCGGGGGGCAATGTTGCCAGCAGTTCAAAGCAGGTGCACCACATCTGCCATCCTTGGCCGAGGTGGTGGGCTTCCTCTTGAACAGAAGGCTTTTCTCTACACCGTTGACGCTAGAGCCGCTGGAAGCCAAGTTTGGAAGTGAACACAGGTCTGGTGACCTACTGTGTCAAAAAAAGAGAGTCTGAAGAAGACGGGCTCCCTCCAAGCCCTGCACTCAAGAACTGCATTCAGGCGGGCACGGGGCCAAGAGTACTTTCACCTCGTTGCCCCAAAGCTTCCAGATTACTTGGCGCAGCCCAAAGCTCAGCTTGCGGCGCATGTCAAGTTGTGTGTAAGAGGATTTCAGACATGAATGTTTTTGTATGTGACAGTATGTGACGCTGCTCTGGCAGTGCTTCAAGTCGCAAGGGATCGTGGGAAGGTGACCTCAATCATCACGAGTTTCATGTTCACCATCTTGCTCAGCACTCCGTTTCCGCCAATCAGCCAGTGCGATTTCGGTATCGTGACCAATCGGCCTCCTGACTTTGCACCCCTCGCTACTTACGCCACTTTGGCAATGGATCGTGCTTGGGGGCGATGAGGCGTTTGAACTCGCCAATCGCATCACGACTTCTAGCGCTCCGTGGCACTTACCCACCATGCCGTACAGACTCCAAGGTCAAAGATACAAGATGATACAAGCAGAGCGACATTAGGAAACGTTAGTGGGAGGTGTTGTACGAAGGTTCCAGCTAGCTGCCTGCCTGGCATGATCTGGCATGCCTTGCATTGCTTCAGCAAAACCGCAGACCACGGCCGTGGGATCCCATGATATCTCGCTCAGCTGGCAGGTTTCAGGAAGCGTTTGACATTGTCCTCGAAAGCTTGCCTGAGGCGTGCCTACCTGCTCCATTTCAGCTTGGGCTGAATTTTTTCTCCCGAGGTGGACTGGACGAGATGTTCCAATGGGGATGCCACGGTGACCATGATGGCAGGGCCACTTGTCCGCGACAAGATGGTGTACATGCCGAGCACTTGGCAAGGCACGGCAAGTGCGAACGAAACAGCAACCAAGATGGCAGGACCAGGGGCAGAAACTGGTTGCAGCATGGGCGTTGTTGATGACCCTTTGGCGACTCCTTTGGCCCATGGTGATGCGATGGAAATCTAAATCACTTACCCGCAGGATGCACACCGCGGACATGAACCAGAAGATGAGCTGCTTGGCGGTCCGACCAGAGGTATTCAGCCTGGCATGGCCTTGCACTGCGACATGAGGCAGGATGTCTTCATGAACTTGCATCTTGCTCAGCATCGTTGTCAGCCGAGAGCCGGGTGCATCGGAGCAGGGCAGAAAGGCAAGGAACACACTCTTTAAGCGCACTGATGGTCCGCCCTGGCTTAGGCCGCATCACGATGACTACTGGCCTGGTTCCGACCTTTTCGTCGTGAGCGACGCTCCTTTCAGGACCCTCTTCTATCCAGAAGGCGACTTTGCTCGAGCATTTCCGGAGCTTCTCCGAGATGCGTGCGAAGATCTGACAGGTCCAGATGCGTGCCTCCGGCTACCGCATTCCATGCGCACCCGGATGCGCTGCGACTTCTATACCTTGTCGCATTTGCCAGGCAACCGCGGAGATTCCCCGCCGGCAGCGTGGTCCGCTACGACGCACAGGCGGTGCACTCTGCGAGCAGCCCTGAGAGGAAGATGCGCATCACATACACAGAACGTATACTGGAATAAGTCAATATGCATACATCACCGCATGCATTATTCATTGTCATGAAAATAACCGCATGACTTTCCATTTCCGAGGCCGGGGTTTTGCCCTGCCTCGGAGGGCTCCTCACGTCGGCGTGGCGTTCAGGACCTCAGAGCTATCTTGCAGGGGCCGTTCCCAGACTGATGAGCAACCATCGTAGGTAATTTTCGTCAGGTGACATCTGTGGTGAGAACATTTATGCGCGTGCATGTTGCGGCCTCAACTTCCACACGTTGGCATGACCAGTTGAGCTGACGGGCAAAACTAGTGTTGGAATTGTGCTGATTGTATTGATGCTGAAGCCTTCGCGACGCGCCCGGAACGAGATCTTCGCAGCTGACTGAGTAGCTGGCTCCCGCAAGCTGTGGTATTGGATCCACAACCCCCTGCGTGAAGCCTGCCTGCACCATACGCCTCGACCAAGACTCGACCCTGCATACTGAAATGAGTGAGTTGCCCATGGCCTGCTAGACACCGAACTGTAACGGCCAAAGAACGCTGATGGCGCGCTGCCGTTTGCAGCTGTGGCGACAGTGTCGCAAGCTGGGCCCATGTCTTGCCAGTTTACATGGCATGGCAATGCGCAGCAACGGTCGTTGGAGGTTCAGTGTACCTGCATGGCGTGGTGGGGAGAGCCCGACGTCTAAAGCTCCCCTTGCTTCCGTGGGAACGAAGCAGGCAGCGGTGCTAGGTCTAGTCGTCTGCCAGATACGGCTACGAGCGATCTGCATTCGAGCAGGTGCGCATCTTTCGCAGTCGTTGCGACTGGACAGCTCTGGCTGCGAATACATGGCGGCAGTGTGAGGGCCTCGGTTCAGACTTTCAGGCAGCTGGTAGCCATTCCGTTAGGTTCATGTGAGACTCAGGAAGTTTGGCTGTGTACTTCTTCACTCACTCTAGAAGCCATTTAAGTTGATAGTGCGCTGATCAGGATTGACTGTCCGAAAGGAGAGCTTGCCGTGGGACAATCCAACTCTTGACATGTCAGAGGAAAAGCTTCTTATGTGGCGGCCGAGATGGGTGTAGCTTCATCGTCTATATGTCTCAGGAGGGCGACACGCAGATGCGGAGATGCAGGCAATTCTCGAATGGTCATGTCACATATCAGCAAGCTATGCGAGCGTGAATCATTCATAAGAGTGGGTTCACATTCCCTCAGCAAATGGAGAGTATCAACGAGCTGAAGAAGGAGCATTCATAGCTGACGGAGACCTGAATGAAGCTGAAGGAACACCTCTTCAAAGGTTGTGCATGCAGAGCTGAGATCAACCACATGCTAGATGGACTGAGAAGCAGCACCATGTCCTACCCGGAGCCACTACGGTTGCAGAAAGATCTCGACACTATCCATGCCCTGTTTGGACGAAGGCGAGATTTTGTCTCGCGAGGATATCATAGTGCAGTCCCAGAAGAACTACTTTGCAGTGAACATCTCCGAAGATGACGAGTCAGCCCATGCAGGATCATTCAGAGTCGAAGAAGCGAAGGGGCAAGGCGACAAGTGCAGCGGCTCATGGTGCAAGGACCAAAGAACGTGAGAGGTAAAAAGTCCACACCAAGCTTTCTATGTGACATCTGAAGGCCTTCTCGGCAGCCTCCTCGGCGTTAGCGGTGCGGCCGCTGCCGCGTCTGCCGTGCCGTCGGTGCCTTTGGCAGCGGCCGTGGCTTGCGCAGGTGCTCTTCCCGGTTTTGAGAGTGGTCTATAGTTTGTCGGGCAGCAGACCAGGTCAACTCAGCCACGTGCCTTTTCACAGGTCCGCCAGGTTGCAGGTGCATGCATAGGATGAGCAGCAAGGCAGGGGCTGCTGCACCCGTGGGTTGGCCGCTGAGTCGCGTTGCCGAAAAGAACCTTGACCGTTGGGTGCTGCTCGCGGACCATAGTACTCAGCGATGGCAGCATTAGCAGAGGCGCCCTGCCGCCTCTTGCTGCTTTGTGGATGGTGCCCAGTCAAATGAGGCCCGCAGCTGTCTGTTCTGTTGTATCAGCCTGACAGTTTGGAGCTTATTTTGCGCAGGGATGCTGCCGCAGGCTTCGTGGAGGAGAGGCTCATGCCGGCTCTCCCTTAAAGCCTTAAAGTGCTTTGTGCTTAGTGGTTTAAAGTTCTTTTACGGCTTCCAATTAGGCGTGCCCAGCACCTTTTCTAGTATACGATACGGCATCCAAGTAGGCGTGTCCAGCACCTTTGCTTCAGGAGGTGCTGGTTCTTGTTCCGTGGCCCAACAAGCCCAGCGTGCAGGAAGAGGAACGACGTCAGGCTGAAAGCCTCGAGAAGCCCTCTGTCCTAACTGTTTGCCAGGAGCAAGCACGAAGTGCAGCCGGACCTCCTGAAGGCGTGCCGCAGGTCTTTTGGAGTTCCAGCTGTAGCTGTCCCAGCCTGTCCCCGCGCTACTGAGGGCCTGCGTGCTCCGCCGCCGACGAGTCTGTTAGAGCCAGCAGCGAGCTGCTTGCCGCTTTCCACGGGGTCGATGTCTTGCTGCACTGTCCTTTCTTGGTTCGCCATCTTCGCTTGGAGGAGAGACTCTGTCTCTGTCCTAGTCGCACGGGAAACGCTCCAAGTACAGCATTTGCCAGCTCGCAGGAGGGGCAACAAGCCAAGCCACTGCTGCGGCGTTCTGGCTTTGTGGCAGACAGCCGGCCAAGCTTTCGCCACTTATGCAGCCTTCCATCCTCGGAGGGCCCTGAACCCAGCTTAATTCGATACTCTCCGAAGTGTTGGCGATGCAAGTATTCCCAAAAGCAACTTGCGATAAGGCGGCCAGTCCCGAGCTGCGCTCCCAGCCGCAATGCGAAGACTCGAGAGGGACAAGGGACTAAAGCAAGCAAAAGGTGAGGCAAAGCAAGGGATGCCCAACGCAAGACCAACTTCAGATCTTGAGGTGGGGCGGCGCGGGCCGCTGCACATAAATCCGACCGAGGACCTTGCCAAGCATCTAGAATCTAGGACGCCATGCAGGGTTCATCACAGCCCCTATAGGAGGAGGGAAGCGGCATAGCATCCTGCGATTCTTAGAGCCAACGCTCTTGTTCCTGTCCCAATTTGTCCGCACTCCAGCGGGGCAGGGCCTCTCGACGGATTCCGCACTGCTCGCTGCGCTGCTACGGAGTCCGAAGGCTCCGACAAGGCAAAGAACGCTGATGTTTTTTGGCCTGCAGACGGGCTGCCAGGTGCTGGCCTCGGAGCACATGGAAAGTCGGGAGGCACGGGTTCTCCAAACTAGACACCGAGTATCCCGA